GTCGTGTGCTTTCAGGGATTATTTGTTACATTTTTAGAGCAATTAAGTTTTCAGTGCCATTTTTTTTCATAATGATTTCTTGAAATTCTCATTCTGCTACTTCACAATACATGTCTAGAAATTTGAAGGTTTATTTATTTATTTTGAGAGAAAGAGAGAATTTCTTTTGTTTGATTTTCAATAACCCATTTAATTTCAAAATTATTTGAATTTTGCTCATAATTAATATTTGTTGAGTTTTTAGAGCAATTAAGGTTTTGCCTTTTATTAAATGATTACTTGAAGTTCTCATTCTGCTTGTTCTCAAAGGGTTCTCAAGGGTTTATTTGTTTATTTTGAGAGAGAGAGAGAGAGAGAGAGAGATTTTGAATGATTTTCAAAAAAAACATTTCATGACATTTTACATTTCATGACACTTTACAATTTTACTGTTATTATTAGTGTTACTGTTATGCTAATGAATAAAATGTGTTATAAAAAACAAATAAAATATTTGTGAACATCAAATATTTTTAAATCAGTCATTAAATTAAAACTTAAAATCTAAAATCCATCATAACATAACTTTTCTAAAAAAAGTTTTTACTTTTTTTTCCTTGAAAATAGTAAAAATGAAACATACAAAAATTCATTACATTATTATATTAAGATTTTGCTATATTTTCCATGAATCTAAATATCTAAATATTTATCTGTATATTAACTATTTACGCCTAAACACTATTAAGGGAGTAACACTGATGTTTTGAACTTTGAACTTTAGATGTTTTATTGCACTTCCCACCCATTATTCTGATTCATTATTCATTATTCATTCAAACATTTTCCTTCGGCTTAGTCCCTTTATCAGGGGTCGCCACAGCAAAATGAACCATTAACTTATCCAGCAAATGTTTTAGGCAGCGGATGCCGTTCCAGCCACAACCCAGTAAACACCAATACACTCTGACATTCACACCCTCTTGCACATTATGGACAATTTAACTTAGTCAATTCACCTAAAGCGCATGTCTTTGGACTGTGGAGGAAGCTGGTGCACCCTGAGGAAATCCACGTGAACACTGGGAGAACATGCAAACTCCACACAGAAATGCCACCTGACGCAGCTGGGACTCGAACAAGCATCCTTGTTGCTGTGAGGCAGCAGTGCTAACCACCGAATCACCGTTCTGCCCCATTCTAATTGTTCATTCTCATTAATAAAATTGCATTTCTTGTCATATAAATTTTGATCGACATGAATTTCGGCATGACATATACAAATATGTATGTTCTGAGAAAGTAGGGGTGAAATTAAAATCAAAATGTCAAATAGCAATGCTCCCAAAGAATACCTGTCAAGATTTATCAAAATATATCTTCTACTTTTTGTCTTTAGATTCTTTAGTTGGTTCCTGACACCTTTATGTGAGCTTCACCCAATTACAGTAACCACTGCTTTCCCACATAAACCTCTTACGCCTCCGGGACATGACTGGATTTTGACACACAAACGACTCTTGCTTGCTGGGGTGAATGCTGATGCAGAGATGTTGTTGTCTGGAGTGTAGCTCTGCACTCCGTCTATCTGTACAGTGAAGAGCTGCGCTTTGAGGGAAGGCCATTGTTAAGTAGCACCTCTCAGCGTGCATTACAGAAATGTGGGGATGTTACTGAGGGCAGGCCAGTGTTTAGCATCAGAGACCGCAATGCGGGGGTGTGTGAGGGCCACTTCACCCCAACTACACCGCTCTGATTGGCCTTCACAGAAGAGCTTGACAGAGGTTTCCACATAGAGGAGGGACAGTGAAGGCATCAGAGCTCTTCAGAGTTACTAATGCTGAGTGTGTGTGTGTGTGTTTGTTTGTAGTGAGAGAGAGAGAGAGAGAGAGAGAGAGAGAAAGAAAGATATTTAATTTCAAATTTATTTCCATATGTTGATGCACTTCCGACTGAAACAGAATGTTGAGCAGGGGGCGGGGCTTTCTTTTGCACATCTTTTTCTCATAGCATAAGTATAGCTGTAAGAGAGGGCATTAACCCTTTCACACGTACAATCACACTGGTGTGATCAGCCTTGGCTGGTCTCTAGTATACGATCACACTGGTGTGATTACAACGTTCAGAGCTCACGTCATCAACTGCTAAATTTTAAATCTGATGGCGCACTGAGGAACAAATAGAGGTGCCAGCACTTGTCATAAATCACAATTTATCTGTGCTTTCAAACAAATAACACTTTAGGTTTCAGACATCTAAATACACATAACTACAAGCAGAACATACTATTTAAGGTTTGTAAAATACTCTATGTCTATGGAGACCGCAATAATAATTATTTTTCAAAATAACTGGACAATTTGTGTCTAAATTAAAGTAACTAACTGCTTTTTATGGAGTAAAACGAGATGAACGCATGGTGAAAACAAGGTTTAGAAAGCAGCAGCATATGTAATAATGAAGAAGGCAATTATGGAGCTCAGTAGCAAGTAGAACAAATCCAAAGTGACAATTTAAGACCAGTATTCAATATTCAGTATTCAGTGCCGTTAATGATAAAAACAGGGCAACTTTTTAAGCAATGCTGCAGGGCAATTTTGCAAAGCAATGTTGCTAGGTTACTTTTTTATTAAAGGTGATGTATGCAAGTTTTTGACTCTTCTAAAACTTAAAAATACATTAATATGTTTGCAGATACTTAAGAAACATGTCAAGTGAACATTCTTGTTTATCTGAAAAACAATGCTAAAGTCAGATATTCTGCTTGTGTGTTATGTGCAGGAACGGCTGTCTTTGTTTTGGTCATTTAACATGCCCAATGCCAGTTTAGCCAATTATATTCCAGCACCACAGGTTGCCTTGGTGATGCAATGTCCGGTGGACAATAAGAGCCTCCAAAATGAGACGCAGATTCACAGTTCCACATGAGGTGGTTTTAATTAGCAAATAATATAAATATAACAATCATAAACATATGTAACGAGATTTGCAATGATAAGCAGTTTGGCTGTGTGCACCAGACAGAACACGACAGAAATTTAGCGTGCTTTCACATCTGTGGTTTTGTTTATTTGGTCTGGACCAAGGGCAACAAATGATACATTGTAGCAGTTTTCTGGCGTTTTTGGGTCCTTTCCACACCACACTGATTGCTTTGGTCCGAACCAGTTGAAAAGAACCAATATGCGATTATGTGACAAAATCCACATCACTCATTGGCCAGATGTTATTGAACCTATTTCCTAAACTGTTTTTTGATTGGTCAGTAAATGTCAATGGAACTCCCGCAAGTAAACAGTAAGTAAACGGGCAGACACAAAATGCAGCTTTTTACTATAAAGGGACGACTACGCTGGCAGATTGTACCCTTGGTCATAGTATACTATATAGTTTGTATACATCACTTTAGACAAACTATACATTTAGAAAATGATGTGCGGCAGCAGCTGGAAAACAATGTTTAAATGCATTGCAAACAACAAAGGCATATCTTCCGGAAATATGACCAACGATCCATCAGGTAATGTTTTTCTCTCTCTCTCTCTCTGTTTAAAATTGTTGGTAAAGCACTGTCAACAAATATTTTGCCTCAACACCCCATAAAATGGAACAGTGCATTGGACTACGGCAGCTGGATTAGTCCAAAAAGGCGCTGAACTTTTTGCGGTTGAGTCTGTTTTAGTTGGGATCATGTTCTCACCATAAACGAACCGCTCCAGCATCCTCTTAAAGGAGCTCTCAGAATGCTTTTTTGGTCTGCTACATTCACACTCGCCCAAACGAACCACACCAAGAGGAAAAACAAACTCTAGTGCAATTCAACCAAACTAAATAAGGCAGGTGAACAGAATAGAGCACTCGCTGCACTCCAACAAAATGCTATGGTTTACAATCTAATTAATACAAATTAAACCTCTTTACATTGATACTTGTTAAACATGATACGTGTTGGCTTGCACTGAAGTTCCATTTCAAACCGTTTATTTATTTTCAAGATCTGAGGTGAACTACTGCTGCTTTCAGGATAGCATTCAAACTCACATTATAAACATTTAACGCTGAGTAAAGCAGGATGTGTACCTGAGGTGATCAATGTCACAGTTTTCTGTTTCAATACTACATACTGCACCTTCAAGAATGGGCAAAAATATAGTATTTTGCCATTAGCCAAATTAGTTGCCATGTGTCTGACCTGGTTGCCCATTTATGGCAATATTTCCTGAAGTTGCCAGGCAACATGGCTTAAAAAGTTGTATGATGTATCATCAGCATAAGACAAATTAGAATTTAGAATGCAACTATTACGATGATGATGATGATGATGATGTCACTGAATGCTGAGGATTCTATCAACATTCTAAGAAATATGAAAGATTACAAATGCACACCCAAGGTTAAAATGACCCATGCAATTGTTGGCTTGATTTAATTTCTCAGGTCCAATACTTTACTGAAGGACTTAAAAATAAACCGTAACCAGAATGTTTGAGAAATATCAATACAGAGCCGCAACGCACACGTTACGATAATCTCTTCAGCGTTCCAGCATTCCAGAGCTGCCCCACTTCTGTAATCCGTACATCAAAAGACAGCATCAGACGGATTGCATTGTGTGGGCTGTCACACATGGACATGGAAGAACACCAAAGTCTTGTTCCTGGTGGATGTTTTGTCTGGATGGAGATGCTCGTCTGTCTAGCAAAGCCTAATTAGAGAGACGGTCTTCTTAGAGCACCATGTTCATTGGCACAGGTGAAAGAGCTGGATTGTAATGTCAATATCTCTCCATCCCCTTAGATCAACCCATTTAATCATCATTTCAGCTGCAACCTTCACGTTAGCATGCCAGATCTTTACCCATTACGCAACCCCCACGCTACGGAGGTGGCGATGAAACCATTAGTGACCCAGCTGGAGTGATAAGACTGGATTCATCTAGCCTGCATTACTTGTCATGCATGAAATGTTCGTTTGGTCCAATGAATCGCTGCGACACAAATAGACACCAACTTTGGACTTACCTTTGAGATGTGTTTTTGTACTTCTGCCTGTAAGACAAGAAATGGAAGCACATTAGCTTGAGGCCATAATGAGCATGTCCCACAGGAGAGAGTACTTTATGTGTGTAAAGCACAGGACTGGAAAGAACAGCGTGCTCTCAAGGAATTCTAACTTTTTTTGAATTAGTCAGCGTATGGAGCTATTGCATTAGCTGATGTGTTTTAGAGTGATGGTTTGAAAATCTAGAGACACATTAGGATGTATTGCAAAGCATTAGCTAATGCATTTGAATGTATATTAAAAAGCCTACATCGTTTATTCAGCTTTAGATTATGCACTAAAAACATGATTCATTGGATTTACTAATTATTTTAAGGTAAGTGGTTGCAAACAATTCATATGGGCTGAATTTAAACAAACAAATTCAATGTATTAATGTTCAACTTAACTTGCTTGTTTAACTTGTTAAATTCAGCCTATATAAATTGTTCGCAACCACTCGGCTTACTAAAAAAATTAGTAAATCCAATAAATCAACTAAAAGATTGAAACTCTGGCTTTGGAAGCTGAACTGTGGGGCTGTTTCATCACGTACTGAAAATGTCATTGCCCACCTCGGACGGGATGAATGGACAAGAGCGATTGATCTGTAAGGATCGACAGAGCTTTCCAAAGAAGCTTGGATGAGCTTTGCAGGGAAGTGATGGAGCAAGAGTGGTTTAAATCCCGGGATCAGCCATTTAGTGACTCTACTTTGACTTTCACAAATTTGCTTCTGTTGTAGGTCAAAAAGACAGATTTTTCTGATCCACCACCAATGCATTTAACATCAGACTGGGGTTACTTCTTGTTTGGGAATTAGGAAAACAACTAGGGCTGAAACTTATAAATGAATTAGTTGATTTATTCATTCATTCATTTTCTTTTTGGCTAAGTCCCATTAATTCCCCACAGCAGAATGAACCACTGAATTAGTCGATTTAATTGGTTATAAAAAAAAATTGATTAAAATTGTAGCAATCAATGCTTTCTCTCTAAAAATGAATGCATAACTTCCTGTCTGTGTGTAAAATGATTGTTATATTTATTTTAATTAATCAATATGCAACTTGTTTTTATTTTATCCTGTATTTATATTATTACATAATGTCATTTCTGGTAAAATAATAAATTCCATTGCTTTAATACAGGATATAGTGCAGTAGTTGCAAATTTAGTTGAATGCAATACATTTTATTGCAATATAATAATATATATGGGTGGCACAGTGGCGCAGTGGGTAGCGCTGTCACCTCACAGCAAGAAAGTTGTTGGTTTGAGCCCCAGCTGGGTAAGTTGGCATTTATGTGTGGATTTTGCATGTTCTCCCTGTGTTCGCGTAGGTTTCCAACAGGTGTCCAAAGTAGGCATGGGCTGGTATAAGATTCTGACAGTATGATAACCTTGGATAAAAATATCATGGTTTCAAGGTGCTGTGATTACTGCTCTAAAATAAGTTCCTTTTAAATGTATAATAAAATAAAAAAAAACATAATAAATAAATAAATAAAAACTTTCTCCCCTTTGAACACAATCTATATTATGTTGAAGACATTTAAAATATTTTGGAACAGTAAACATCCATGCATGTCAACATGAACATTGTGGGGACATTGTTTTTTGTTTGGAATTGAAAATCAGGTCTACATCAGAACCCATCGTAAGGCTGTCGTCAGTGTCCAACTTCTAATTATAATCAACCAAATATCAACGTCTAATGATGTTACAGCTTGATATTGTGTGGACGTAACTACTATGGCATCTATGTCTACATATATCTATGTATAAAATACATTGGATTTTGGTTGCTATACCTGACAAATAAATGTCAGTATTTGATGCCAATATGATGTTAGTTTAAGATGTTGGCTCGGCATTAGGTTTTGGTCATTTTTCAACACAACCTAAAATCAACTAAATATCAACGTCAATTGACCTTGTGATTGGACATCAAAATAACGTTGTCCTTAGACACTGGCTAGACATTGAATTTTAGTCGCCTAACGTCACAACCTAAATCTAACCTAAAATTAACGTTTTATGGTGTTGTGTGCCTGCTGAGATGTCAGGCTAAATTCTGTCTTCATTTGTTTTTTAAAAACACAGAAAAAAAAATCTTACACATAACTTAGGAACGGTATAGTAAAAAATTTTGGCGGTTTAAAAAGTTTGACTTTACCTAACCATAGTATACCTTGAAAACGGTTATCATCCCATGTCTAGTACAAGGACATGTGCTGTGGGTGAATCGGGTAAGCTATATTGTCCATAGTGTATGTGTGTATGTCCTGGTCCTCCAGGTTAGGGGTTAAGCCTCATAAAAAATTAGATGTTACAAATACCAACATGGTGTGGCTAAATGTCAACTTTGATATAAATGATTGGGAGTAAGTAAATATAATATTGTATATAATAATATACTGTATATGTTGTGTGTCTGTATCTGTGTGTATGTGTGATTGGCTTTAATACACTTTTTACTGCTCTGTTGCATTTCAGTCACAGGATCTTCAAAGAAAATTAAAAAAAGTTTGTCAGATTAACTGTTTAATTGATTGATAACAGTGGTGGATAAATTGATTATTTAAATAATCCTTAAAAAACAGAAGGTAATGTTTATGCTGGGAAATATGTAATGCTAAAGTGAATTTACACATCAGCAATGCTGAAAAAGAAGTCAAGAATAGATTACTTTGTTTATGTTTTTAATACATAGATATTATAATAGATATTTAATATATAGATAATAATTTTTTTTATATTTGATTTGATTTGATTTATTTATTTTCGAACAAAAATATGATACATAAAATGTCATTAACAAAAATAAATACATTTCAACATGGTCCAAAATGGAGCGGGATGAAGCATAAGCTTATTATTCTCCCACCCCATTACCCCATACATAATTCATTTATTACTTAAACTTATTTATTCTTTTACCTATCTCTTCTTTTTACCTGAAACAAATTTGATCCTTTTGGCATCTTTGAAAAATAATATGTTTGATTCTATTTGTACCTTTTCATTTTGAAACATAGACTCAAAGAAAAAAAAAGAAAAAAAATACATAGTACTGCAAATAGACAAAATAAAAATAAAAAACAACAACAACAACAACCTAGTACTGCAAATAGCCATTAAAATTTCATCATACCTTTCTCTTTTTATCATTTTTCAATAACCTTCATCATTACATTCCTTTATTATATATATTTATACATTTTTTTTATTGATTAATATCCTGACGATTGTTTATGTTATTAATATTTTAAATCATTAATTAAGTTTGATACTTTTTATTTAATAATAATGACAACAAAAATGATAAGGTAATATTAAATTGCAGCTGTACTATTGTTGCAATAGGCATGGGCCGATATAAAATTCTGACCGTATGATAATCTTAAACAAAAAAATCACGATTTCACAGTAACACAGTACTGTGTTTACTGCTCTAAAATAAGTCCTTTTTAAATATCTTGGTAAAAAAAAAAAATTATTGCCCCATTGAACACATTATATTTTATTTTAAGAAACATTTAAAATATATATTTTTTGCCTTTTTTAATTTTAAACATGTCAGGCTAAATAATTAAAATAATTCAAAATAATAAATTCAATAATTTAAAATCAAAAACACACAATACTTTTCAACTTGAATAGGCATCTTAGTATATCTTTTATTTCTGTGTATATAAATTAAGCCACTGCTCTGTTCAGGTCTAGCATGCCAGATGTTGCTGTATATAAACGACTTGTTTTTCAGATGTTCGCTGAATAGTGGGCTGACCAGTAGCTTTAGATTTGGAGGGTCCTTTTGCTAAAGATGCTGTTGTCCAAAAAAAAAAAAATTTAATTAAATAGTCGTTAAAAAAAGCAGAAGTGTTCATATACCTTAGAAACGTTTCATTCATTCACTCATTTTATTTTCGGCTTAGTCCCTTTATTAATCTGGGGTCGCCACAGTGGAATGAACCGCCAACTTATCCAGCATATGCTTTACACAGCAGATGCCCTTTCAGCTGCAACCCATCACTAGGAAACACACAACACACTTATTCACACACATACTGTAAACTACGGATAATTTAGCCTGTCCAATTCACCTATAGTGCATGTCTTTGGACTGTGGGGAAAACCAGAGCACCCGGATGAAACCCATGTAAACAGGGGGAGAACATGCAAAATCCACACAAAAATGCCAAGTGGCGCAGCAGAGGCTCGGACGATTGAACTTCTTACTGTAAGGGGACCATGCTACCCACTGTGCCACCGTGCCGCCCCTTGGAAACGGTATAACAGAAAATTTTTGCAGTTTTAAAACCTTGACTTTTCCAAACCGCTGTAAAGATTATCGCCCCGTTTCTATGTTGCACTATGTGCAAATAAATTACTAATACTTCTAAACATAATATCTACAGCATTTATATTGAAACATTTTATGCATATTCTATTTCTGTTTGCAGAATGGAGACAAAGTCTTTAATTCAATGTTTTTGAGAATGAAAAATAAGCACTTAACTTTAATTGTTTGATAAATGACTTATTATTATTGATTATTGTTGCAAACAATGTTGAATGTTTTTGTTAAGTCAAACTACCCTTTATTGACCCTTTATCGACCCTACATGAATGCTATTAACTAACATTAAATTGGCATTTTAATTAATTACTAATAAAGAAATGTTGGAAGTTCAATATCTACATTTTTGATTGTGCAATAAAAACGAATCCACAAATTGTGTTTTGGATTGTTTAACTTACAACACAAAACCTAGACTGACGAATTCATCAGCCAAAACTGTCAGCAGAAGCAAATATGTGAACAACAACATTGCTTGATTAGGCTTGACAGTCTCATTAGTATTACATTCACACACTTGCTGCCCCAAGAGTCAAGACTCACTCACTCCCAGCATCATTGTGTACAATGAACACAACCTCCTCCACCACGCTCTGTCATTCTCCTGCTGCCAGCAATGAAACCTGGCTGATGAAAGAATAGGAAACAAAAAAAAAAATAAGAAAACACTTACATTCCTTTCAGCCTAATCCACATCTTCTCCGTCTGATCACACTTGGAGTACTTGAGAGAGTTCTCCAGTCCGTCCGTGTCATTGGCCAGAGAATCCATGGTATGCGCGAATGCTCGAGCGCGTGGAGGGTATTGAGATGCAGAGGGATACGCAGTTATGCGATTTAACACGTGTAGCGCAAAGATGCGAGTCTTCAAAGCATGATTGAGCGGCACGCGTTTCCCAGAGTGTCCTGTTTGCAGCTCCAGAGCGCATCAGCCCGCAGGAGTGAGTGTCAGCGCACAGACCTGTCTCTCCGCTACGCACTGAGGGAACGCTGCTGTCACACACACATACACACACACGTCACACAAATGTTTCCCTCGCTCCTTTCTCTCTCTCTCTCTTTCTCTCCCACTGACCCGGAGGAGCAGCGCTGCGTCTGATGATTATCTATTACCCTCCAGGAATCTGAATACCTTCCAGCTTCTTTCACCCTGTTGTTCTCTTGACATCACTAATCTCATGCATTTAGACACACACACACACACATTGCTCCTCAAAAGAAACGGGCACCTGTGTGCGTCGTGAGTGTTCTCCCTCGGTTGGAATCTGTTGGCTGGAAACGGATCAGCGATTTCCCCCTCCTGGTAGAAAAACGCAGAGGGAGAAGAAGGAGAGAGAACGGTTTCCTCATATCCTCAGTAGCATCATTATCCTCCCCAACAGGGGGAGAGATTCACCTGCCGATTGATTCTTCACCACCTTCCCCAAGACGTCGTTCTTCAGAGGAAGCCATCATGAAGCTCGAGTCCGATATTACCACGGCTTTCCCTCTGGCTGGCCAGCAGAGCGATAAGCTTCTCTATTGGGTCCAGAGTTGGCGTTTTAACGAAATTAACCTGCGCGCTGTAGCATCCCGCACTGGTCTCGCGGACGGCAGCCTAGATTCAACACGCTCTAATCCTCTCATTCCAGCGCAGCTGCAAGAAGCAGCGTGCTGATCAAAATTTCATGATTGTTTGTGAAGTACAAAAGGGCTGATTAGGCAGACACACACAGAGAGAGACCGCAGAAGGTTTCAGAGGAGGACAAAATCAGAGAAGAGCACCCCTTGTCTAATACTGAGCACCCCTATATCTCAGATCTGTAAATGTGAGAGGAATGAGGATTGTGGGTTTTTTTTCCTTCAGTGCTGTTGTAGCCAGCCATGGTTGATTTTCATTCATTAGGGGGAAGGGCACATCATCTCCTGCCTACGGAGCATCCATGGCATGAATAGACTGAATCCTAATGATTGCTTCTTCTGGGTTACCGGTCTATTGGATTACTCTCTACAATGTAAAACAGCTTAATCATGGCTGCATTAGCATAGGCACAACTGTCTAATAGTTCATTTCATCACATAGGTATTCTGACAGTTTCACATTATTTATTGGGCTCTGATTGACCAAAAAAATGTATATATATATATAGGCCTGTAGTCTGCCTGGTGAGAGGGGTGGTTCGTATTTTATTCCAAATGTGGAATAAATTTTCAGTTAAATTATTTAAATACTGATTTTAGTGACATTTTAAGCATCAGATGATCATCATCATAACCACACAATATACAGTACCAAAACAATTCCCAAAGACTTAGAAAAAAGAAAAAAAAAAGAAATAGTAATAAAGATATATAAATATTCATTATTTTTAAAATGCAGATTCATTACATCATATGTCATTAGAAAAAATATATAAATCTGTTAATTAAAAACTAGCCAATTGTCTTTTATTAGGCAAATAACAAACTGGCCTGCATATTCAACTTTCCTCAGTCAGAATTTGGCCATTTCAATAATAAAAAATTATAACATATTTAAAATAAAAGCACTTTAGGATTTTTCTAGACTTTCTTGTTAAAAAAAAAGTACTTTTGATTGAAGATCCAAGGGTAACAACAATAGCCAAATCAGTATTCAAATAAATTTTAATATGGTCCGCTTTTGGTGCTTCACACCTTATTGGTAATTTTTTCTTTTTTGAATAAGGGCCAAGATTTAGAATAAAAGTTACTTGTAAAATATTTTCTCTATTTAAAAACAATAGTGAAAGATGACTTCACTTAATCCGATTGTATGTGTTCTTGCACAGCTGGATGTTCGACTCATGAAAAATAATAGTTAGCATTGGCCAAAACTGATTAGCTGAAGTCTCACTGATGATTCGGCTTGGCTTAAAGCAATTTCAATTTCACAATTTATGATGGTGCTGCAGTCAAAATAGGAAAAATGAGGTCATGTACAAGACAAATTCTGGACCTTTGTCATTGAGAAGTGCTTCTTTCGAACCAAAAAAACAAAAGAAAAAAAAAACACCTTAGGAATGGTAACGCGGTCAGGTGGTGTAACTGGTTTGTGTCAATTGGTGTAAGAAGTATTTTTGATAAAAAAAATACAATTACAGTATATAAATGGAAATAATATGAAATAACATTTAAAACACCTAGTTTAGTGTAATAAAAAAGTTTTTAACCATTTTTACATAATTTGTCAAAGATTATTCAGAAATCAGATATGTTTTTAGCATGTGTCTGGCCAAATATTGCAATATCTCATTAAAATGCACATTTAAAGATAACTCGAATATAATAAATGTTGGTGTGGTATTTTAAAATGAAGTATTTATGTGTGTACACTTGCATATCATCTAGAAGGAATAAATTATATTTCACATTTTTTGGCAGTTGCACCATTTGACATTTCGAGGTACATTCTGTCTTAAAGTTTGTAAAAAAATGGTGCAAATGTTATATTTAATTACATAAAATCAACATAAATATACAACATATATCAATATTCACATACACACACATATCATATATTGTGTGTGTGTGTGTGTATATATATATATATATATATATATATATATATATACAAACGCACAAAGTTGAAGTTAAAATTATTAGCCCCCTTTTGAATATTTTTTTTCATTTTTAAATATTTCCTAAATGATGTTAAACAGAGCAAGGAAGTTTTCACAGTATGTCTGATAATATTTTTTTCCTCAGGGGAAAGTCTTATTTGTTTTATTTCGGTTAGAATAAAAGCAGTTATTAATTTTTTAAACACCATTTTAAGGACAAAATTATTAGCCCCTTTAAGCTATATTTTTTTTAAGTCTACAGAACAAACCATCGTTTTAAAATAACTTGCCTAATTAACCCATCCTGCCTACCTAATTAACCTAGTTAAGCCTTTAAATGTCACTTTAAGCTGTATAGAAATGTTTTGAAAAATATCAAGTCAAATGTTATTTACTGTCATCATGGCAAAGATAAAATAAATCAGTTATTAGGAATGAGTTATTAAATCTATTATGTTAAGAAATTTGTTGAAAAATCTGGTCTCCATTAAACAGAAATTGGGGGAAAAAAAATAAACAGGGGGCTAATAATTCAGGGGGCTAATAATTCTGACTTCAACTGTATATAGATGGTTCATAGTGTTGCTGTGCCATGTTCTGTAATGAGATAACAACATTACTTTTAAATCGCTTCCAATGGGAAAATAGCCTCTCTATATTCTGCGTTTTTATGTTTCATTTAGAAAGATATTGCAATAGCATGAGTGTCAAGAGTCGGGAGGGTTGATTTACCCATTTGTTTCAAATGAAACACTTCTGATAAATGGAAATGCATAAAATGGGACTCTGTGTGTGTAAATAAAACATTATTCATATTCACTTTCTGCACTAAAATGGTGATTGATGAAAGGCGTTGCCATGGCAACACACACTGCCACACAAATGGCTTTGGAGGGAATGATTACGGCTGTAAAAGAATGACTTGAAGGTCTCAGAGAGAGAGAGACAGACAGAAGCACAGACAGACCAACGGAGATAGAAAGAGCCCCAACACAGACTACAACTAATAACAGTGTGGGGTTATCTATAGAGCAATACTCATCCTGTATGTTCCATGATGATGGTGATTACCGACTCAGAAGCGCATCGATGGACTTGCTCTTCAGTGTTTGGACTTTCAGCAGTGAAATTCAAACCACAACAGAACTGAACTAAACTGGATTGACCCTAGGGTTGACTGATGCTTGACCAATTTGGCATCGTACGATGTCTAATGTTTAAACATTGCGATGGACGATGCCATCTTCGTCGTAGGCGGGGGGTGGGGTGGTTGTTAAATATCAATTAATTCATAACAAATTAATTAATTGTAGCCTACCGTTTTCACTTGACGCACATGGTCTTTGCTTTACCCATAACCAAACCATAAATAAATAAAGTTACAAACAAATGACCACCTGTCAATCACTTTTTTTGCAGGACTCTGGCATAATTAGGCATTGCGATCTGTGTCGTTCTAATGGCTTTTCCCACAGCAGGTGGAGGAGACTAGAGTTCGGTTTGAGTTCACTGTAGTGCATGCATTTTCATTGTTTTCTCTGCAAAATCCTCATCGTGTGCGCAGATTTAGGAGACATTTATGCAGAATGCATCTTTGCACCTAAAAACTCCAAACGCAGCACTCAGTAACAGAACAACAGTTGTTATGTGAACTTGATGAAGTAAAAAAGCCTGCAATGTTTGCCCCACCTTTGTGCTCTTCATATTGGCTCACTGCTCTAGAACTGAATGTGAATGATTGGTTAATATCAGCTGTCAATCGCTCAGTCAATCCCTTCTGCCTTCAGATGACAGGAGCTACAACCGCGAAAATGTGATGCGCTGAAGATGAGAGAATGAAAATAGCACTGCAGATTTACCTAAAGTTACTAATAATGGCACATCTTATTAGTGGTCATGTGCTGAATGCAAATCCACCGTCTACACTTATCCAAGAGGGGAAAAAAGACTTCCAGTGTATCAAGTCCGCTATGAAAATGACTAAAGCCATTCACTGTAAAGTCTGTGGGACGGGTTTGCAGGTAACAGTTCGACAACTGAATCTACACTTTTTAAGCGCGAGAGGTACTGTATAATCCTTCATTTAATCCTCACGATGCTGTCAGCTGTGCAAGTGGCAGCTATACATAACATTTAACACAGCTCATAAAAAGACTGTTATTGCTATTAAGATGACATGCAATTAATAAGTTATGTATCAATATAAATGTGGGGCGGAGCGATGGATCGCGATGCAGGCTAAGCATCGTGAAGTTTGTCGGCCATCTGCGATGGACATTGGCATTGTCTATCGGCACAACTCTAATAGACTGATTTCACGCGGCCGCCATTTTCAAAAGCGAAATCGAGGCTGCGGTGGGAAGAAAACCGGAAGTATCATTGGGAGTTACATAGGAATGTTGTGTAACTGGCTGTATATCTTATCAGCGAAGAGAAAGTGACACAAATTTATCATTTCTCCGCCTTCCGGGTAACCCGAAGGTCCGTTCTGAATGAATGGTGAATGCAAAAAGGGATATCAGAGCTCATTTTCAGCTAAGTTAAGGGAAATGGCACTAGTTAGCTAACGTTTTCTTTCCCAAACACACATTTTAGATGCCAAATCTAACTCGAGTTAATAAACAGATTCTTTCACTAAATTAGACTTGTCAGGATACTGAATAAAAAAAAAAACCGTCAATTTCGCGCTAACATTTAAGGCACTGTTGATGGCTTTCTTAAAACAGCGCTGATTTGCCATTGTGTTCACGTGTTCAACAGAAATGATTGTGATTGACCGAGATGGTCATTAGTTCACCCACCGCTGTATACTGAGCACAAACACAGATGAGCCAGGCGATCTGCTTGATGACTCGACTCATCTTGACGGCTGCTTCGCGCTCCAGGCCGTGTATCTGTGTTTGCACTGGGTAAAGAGCGGTAAACTAAGTGCAAACCAAACACAGATACACAGAGACGGAAGCGCTCAGCCGTGAAGATCAGTCGTGTCGAGACATCCGCGCTCAGCAGCGCTTCCATCTTAGCGGGGAAATAGCCAGGTTTAAAACTTCAGTACCAGGACAACACTATCACAGACAACACGAGGGTGTGCTGCAGAGGACTGCAGTGTTTTATCACTCACCAGGTTACATAGACTGAAGCAGGAAAGGGTCCTCATGGTGTTTAACTGGTGCCATGAGCTGAAGCCTAGGAGGACACTTAAGCGTATCACTGAGATTGTGATGTTGTTTGATGCTAAATT